CTTACTAGAAATTATGTTACTGCCTGCTTGAAACTCTCTAGGCCCTAATCTATTCTTCCTCATTGAAACAATTTTTTAACAATGCAATCTGATAACACAAGGCAGCTCCTTAGAAACAAGTTTGCTTTTCCAGTTGTATTTTCCAGTCTGTATTTTAAAAACTGCGATGTTCATATCTAACATTAATTTTATTAATAACGTTCAATTCATAATTAATACTAACTGATAAAGGAAATTTCGTTTAGTTAGTCCTAGATGGATTTCATTCTATTTTCCAATTTGTAATACTTTTCATCTCCAGCCAGAAAAATCTAGCTTTTAGTAAAGTTCATCTGCTATTTTTGGGGAAATATAAACTATCATGGCCATAATAAAGTCACATGTTCAATATTAGCATATTCTTTAAATATACAGATGCTTTAAGCAAAGGTTTTATTAATTTCATTACATCTACATCAGTTCAGATTTTAAGATATAAATGTTCATTACATTCTATATGCATAGACTGGTTTTAAGTAATAAAAGGACTTTAATAAACTTAACCTTTATGTATATATAAGAAACAAATGTTGCATCTCTTACAGTTCATATACAAGCAGTCAGCAAATATTTCTAAGCACCTATTACATGCTAGGAACTGGGAAAACAATGGTAACAACACAGACTTCTCAGAGTTCCTATTAGGTACATAATTAACCAAAGGACATTATTTGACACTGGAAATCAGTTAGGTAGTTCAACTGGATTATTTCTCAACTTAAACCATACAGTAGATCCAGAAATTCTTTACTCAAATTAGAGAAGTTAAGGAGAAAAGCAAAGAAAGAGGAATAAAACTGGAGACAATAGAAGGAATGGGCACAAAACTATAAACCTGCTTCTAGGTCTACAAATGCATTTTTCTAAACTATAGAGTTTAAGAGTTCATGAAATAGTTGTGAATCTCCATAAAATAAATCACTAACCATGAGATAAACCTCAAAATATTTATATGAAGTAGACAGGATGCAACATTCCTCTAAAGTTTCAAAAGAATAACCACTAATTTACCAAATAAAGTAGAATTTTGAACTCACTCTTAATTTCTGAGTCTATTTGCCTATTATCTCTTTCTCTTACATAGGATCTTGACCAAATCAAAGCATTTGGGGTAGGGCTCTGCTAGACAGAGGTGAAGTAGCGCGGCCTAACAGATGTAAGTAGGAGTTCAACTGGGTACAATACATAATCTCATAGTTGCGTTTAAGGACCTTAGAAATTCAAAGATCATAAAGGCCACATGTTGAAGAAGGAACACTACCCTGGGAGAGAAAAGTTGTTGAGCTCAGATGGGCTTTTAGTTATAAAAAAATATCCATCAGCGTTCTAAAACCAGAAGCCATTTGGGACATTTTACTACTGAGCCATATGAACTATTAATACAAGTCTAGTTTAAACTGAAAAATGTAAATAAAAAATCCAAACTGCCAGATATCTATAATATTTCTATTCAATATCTTTACCAAGTAATTAGTTTGTACAGGGCTTCAACCCAGAGATTCTACGCCACAGTTACTACTATGGATTTTTGTTTTTTGAGGGATGGGGTTACAGGGAAGGAAGTGAGAAGAAAAACAATAGGGAAGGAAACAAGAAATAAAGGAATCTATTCTGTCTGCTAATAAAGATCCTTCAAGTAATTCAGGAAACCTAGCTTGCACTCTCAGGTTAGATATCATGTAAATAGATTAATATCACAGCTATAAGAAAGTATAGCATAGGCAAAAAGGTAGATGTAAACAATGGTAAAATATTAGGAACTGCTGAAACTGGGTAGTAGGTATATGGGAATCCATTACTTTGTTCTCTCTTTTTATGTGCATTGAGAATTCCCAAATTTAAAATTAAAAATAATAATAATAATAATAAATATGTACACACACACACTAAACCAAACCAAAAACCAAACGCACTGCCACTGAGTCAGACCCAACTCATTGCAACCTCTCCTTGGGTTTCCGAGGCAGTATCACTACGAAGTAGATTGCCCAACCTTCTGAGGAGTTGCCGGTGGGTTTGAACCACCAGTTTTCTGCTTAGCAGTCAAATGGCTTAGGCACTATGCCACCAGAGCTCCTCGTGTATGTATGTGTGTGTGTATATATATACATATATATATACACATAGGAGCTCTGGTAGCATAGTGGCTAAGGCACTTGCCTGCTAACCAGACGGCTGGCGGTTCAAACCCACCAGCCACTCCTCGGAAGGAAGGTTGGGCAATCCTACTTCCGTAGTGATACTGCCTCGGAAACCCAAGGAGGGGTCGCTATGAGTCGGGGCCGTCTCAATGGCACATAACAACAACAACAACATATACACATACACACACACACACACATACACACACATATGTGTGTGTGTGTATGTATATATATACACACACACACACACACTACTGTTTCTATCAATCTGGTATAACACTCTTGTTCTAGATACCTAGTGCCGCTCTGACAAGAACATACTACAAATGAGATGGCTTGAACAAACAGGAGTTTATTATCTTACAAAATTCAGGAGGCTAGAAGTCCAAATTCAAAGTGCCAGGCTCTAGGGGGTGGGTGAAAGCACCTAGGGCTTCAGCGCTGCCTCCTGCTATCAGCCCACTAAAGCTAGAGGCATCTCTTCACCCAGGTAGCTACTGGCTGCTGAGGCTAACAAGCCCAAGGTCAACAAATAAAATGGCACAGTTCCAATGTTACCAAACCACACGGCAGGCCATTAATTCAAGTCCACTGAAAGTCCCAGAATCAGCAGAGCGTGGCAGGCTGCTGAACAACAACACGGCCACATGCGGGTTCACATGTGCCATAAGCTAGAGACCATTCCCAAAGCTGCTGCTTATTCGGGAAGCAGACCACATATCCAAAGCAGCTACTCACCTGCTCCAATAGATTCCACCATGGAGTTAATTACTAATCTCACCATGGGGAATAACTACATTCAGCTGCACAGCTACTTAACCAGGCCCAAGCCAAGTTGACACACAAACATAACCACCACACTCTTCCAGAGGAAACGAAAAATATAGGGAGCTTTGGCTATGAGAAGTATGGGTTTCTACATATAAGTTTTCCATAAAATTTATGTAACTTTTAAATAAAGGCAATATATATCATCATCCCAATTCCAAAGAAAGAAATTTTAGGAGCTCTGGTGCCGTAGTGCCTAAGGCATGTGACTGCTAACCAGAAGGCTGGCAGTTCAAAGCCACCAGCCACTCCTCAGAAGGAAGACTGGGCAACCTACTTCCACAGAGATACCGCCTCAGAAACCCAAGGAGAGGTCGCTATGAGTCAGATCCAACTCAACGGCAGTGAGTTTTGTGTTTTTTTTTTTCAATGGCAAAGAAAGAAATATTAAAATAAGTAAAGTTTACAAATTTGGATATAGACACATCATTAAATATCAATATTAAATGATCACCCTACTCAAAACCAAACTCACTGTCATCGAGACAGTTCTGACTCACCGTGACTCTGGAGGACAGAGTAGAACTGCCCTATATGGTTTCCAAAACTGTTACTCTTTACAGAAACAAATCACCACACCCTTCTCCTGCAGAGTGGCTGGTGGGTTGAAACTGTGACGCTTTCAGTCACCAAACAAGTGCTTAACCAGTGTGCCACCGGGTCCCCTAATACCCATGTTCATTCAGTCGACTATATGACAAATAGCTCTTTCAAACTACCAATAACTAACAAAGCCAAATGAAGGTCATAGCAGAAACTGCACTGAAAAAATGAAGTTATATTTTATACATTACATAACTTGATGTACAGATAACAAATCAGTCTACCTGTCTTTTGCTTAAATATCTGATTAAGAATTTCTAAAACTTTATATAAAAATTCAAAATTACATAATCAATAAGATAATGCTTTACCTTAGACATTCATAAAGCATCTTGGGCTCTTGTGGTTGCACATTTTGAAAAGATGCATCTTCATTCTCAGGCTGTGATGTAGTATCTCCACAATCATAATTTTTATATGACTGATCTTCCATTTGCTCAGGAATCTTAATAACAAATTTTTATACAATTTTAGATTTCAAAATGAAACAGATATTTACAAAAAACTTCACTGAAAATTCTGTCCAATGAGTAAAGGGAAAATGATAAAGATTTCAAAATGATAAAATGAATTTCAGGAGATGCTTTCTATCATTTTTTTCCTTTAGCTATCAGAAAATTTCCTCAGCCATAACTTTTATCTCATCTAAAAGGCCCATTCTGTTCCCCAATCAGAAAGCAAGTAACTGCTGGGAAATGAATTTGCTCTGTAAACTTTCAGCCAAATAACAATGAAAATTGAAAAAAAAGAAATTTTGCTTCAGTCTTATCTATCAGAATTACCCCACGGGGTCTACCTTTCTGATTATTATGATCAAATTTCAAATCTTGGGAATTACAGCATAAGAAATTCAAATCTCAAATTATGCCAACATATATTTTTTTAACTTTTTATTGTGACTTAAATTATGCCAACTTTTATCTTTATCATGAAGACTAGTTATTATGTAAATAATCTAAAATTCATGTTCTTTGTCTTTGGAATAACATTTTAACTTTTAAGACTCTATTCTGTTTTAGCCAACATTAAAATTCAAGCTCAAAGGTATATTTTCAAAAAGGAAGAGGAATTGAAATACCTACTAATTAATAAGTGAAGGAAAGCCCAAATATAAGGTAAAGTGAAAGCAGATTATGCATCATTTAAGTACTCAAAATACAGAGAGCTGAGAGCTTAACAGTTGTATAAGGAGTAAAAGTGTTGCACACAGGTGAAACCAGACAAATTGTGGGATAACATCAAGAACGTCATCCGTGAAGAAAGCACAAGGTCACTGAAAACACAGGAAAGGAAGAAAAGACCAAAATGGATGTCAGAAGAGACTCTGAAACTTGCTCGTGAACAGACAGTAGATAGAGCAAAGAAAGAAATGACAAGGTTAAAGAACTGAACAGAAGATTTCAAAGAGCAGCTACAGAAGCAAAGTCAATTACTATAATGAACTGAACAAAGACCTGGAGTTAGAAAACCCAAAGGGAAGGACATGCTTGGCATTTCTTAAGCTGAAAGAACTGAAGAACATATTCAAGCCTCAAGAAGCAACACTGAAAGAATTTATGGGCAAACTATTGAACGATGCAGAAAACACCAAAAGATGGAAGAAATACACAAAGTCACTGTACCAAAAAGAACTGCTCAGTATTCATCCATTTCAGGAGGTAGTATACAATCAACAACCAATGACAATGAATGAAGAAGCTGAAGCTGCACTGAAGGAATTACTAAAACACAAGGTTCCAGGCACTGATGGACTAACGATTGAGATATTTCAACAAACAAATGCATGCTGGAGGCACTAACTCAGATAAGCCAAGAAATTTGGAAGACAGCTACCTGGCCAACTGACTGGAAGAGATAAGTATTTCTACTCATTACAAAGCAAGGTGATCCCACAGAACGTGGAAATTATCGAGCAATATCATTAATATCACACACAAATAAAATCTTGCTGAAGACAATTCAAAAATTATTGCAGCAGTATACTGACAGAGA